AAAATGAAAATGCGATCTCACAGTCAAGGGTTTCACTTGATCCCAATTAGCCCTGGAGAAATTGTTGGAGTGTTCTGTCCACGTGGGGCATTCTGACCTGTTCATGTGTCATTTATCCCCCTTTCTCTCTCTGTTTCATCGCGGATTATGAGCTCCGTGAATTCATTCAGATAATTCTTGGCGCTTTTAGTGAGACAAGGGCAACAACAGCAGCAGCCGCAGCAGCATCAGCATAGCTGGCTTTAGCTACACGGGGAGAAGCAGATTCGATCGCATCTGCAGCGAAATGAGAGCCGAACCTCGGCTGTGCACTGAGACCGTCTGTGGCTGTGCTTCACATGGTTTAACATGGTCAAACAAGGTGTGGAGTCAGTTGGCTAGCTTTGGTGTGTTGGTGCAAGGTGTGTGTTTGATATGGTTGGAGAGGGTGGGGGGGGTGGGGGGGGTTATGAGCATTGAAAAGATTAAAACAAGCAAATACTTCAATTTAAAGGCAGTGAGCAAATAAGCAAAGTTTGGTTCAGTAATGTATTTAAATATGAAAGCAAAGAGCAGCTGTCCTGCTGCTAACTAGTCACATTAATATAGTTTGATCTCCACTCTGGTTTTTGTATAGTAGTTTACAGTTCATAATAGACTCTTTGCCCCTATTGGATCATATGGAAGTTAAAATCATTTAGTGTCGCTCTTCAACTAAAGTTTATTTGACCTGCACACTTTATGGTATGTTTAGTTTCACCACTATTTATCTAATGCCAAAATAAATATATTTTACCTACATTGGCCCCTTGTGCTTAAAAGTGTTCATCACATTGCTACAGTATCATATGTTACTACTTCTAAAATAAAAAACCGTGTGTGTGTGTGTGTGTGTGGCACAGCCCTGTGACGAGATAAGAGTTAATTCTGACACCCTTCCTGTCGTCACCCTGCGGCGTCTGGATGACGTTCAGCCTCTCTGGCATACTGAAGCCCTCTGCTGCTGCTCCGTCGGTCATCTGACCACAAGGTGACAGTTTCGAGTGAGACTTGAGGTCTTTCTCGCCAACTCAGTACTGGGCGTCGGCCGTCGCTCGCTCTCTCTCCCACAGATGTTCCATTTGCCGAGGTGAAGTGAGTCAGTGCTGTGTGTAAAGTGCGTACCGCGTGACGTCACGATGGAGCACCCGGCGCATTTGTGTGAAACAGAGAGAGTGAGAGAGAGCTTTTATCCTCGTCAGAACAATCTTTGTTCTGGATGTTTTTGCAAAGTCAGTCCATTGTGGTTAGAGTTGTGGATAATGTTAGCTCGGGGTCAGAATAAGTGTTGAATTCAAGGTTGGCTTCGGGTCTCACAGGAGGACTCATGACGTCAGACTGAATAAGGATGGCTAGACGCTTCATTAAAATGTCTCATTTTATGCTTACCTTTCATTGTTGACCCATCAGCAAAACATATTCACAAAACAAACAAACAGCACTGTAATTAACAACCTATAGAATGTACTCAATAAATGTGAGGTAACAATTTGCACTCGATTTGTTTGGGTAGATTTCACCACACAAGAATTACTACCTTCCAATAATCGTTTTATACAGTGTGGACACGGTTTACTACAGACTAATCATTTTTGGGTAGATTTTATTATATTTTATTAGGCTGCAGTTGTTACTCTTCAAAAAAAAGCTTGTGTAGGTGGAAGTTACCCATGATGCTGTTCATTGACTTCAATTCAGCATTCAACACTATCATCTCCTCCAATCGGATTACCAAATTCAGGGATTTGGGCATCAACACCTCCCTCAGTAACTGGATACTGGACATCCTAAACAACAGACCCCAATCTGTCCGGTTAGAGAACATCACCTCCACAACCTTCATCAACACCGGTGTCCCACAGGGCTGCGTGCTGAGCCCTCTCCTCTACCTCTTCACCGACGACTGCAGACATGTACATAGTTCCAACAACATTGCCAGGTTTGCAGACGACAAAACAGTGATTGTCCTCATCAGCAACAACGATGAGTCGGCCTTCAGGAAAGAGGTCCAGCACTTGGCCGAGTGGTGTGCCACCAACAACCTGGCACTCAACACCAAGAAGACCAAAGAGCTCATTGTGGACTTCAGGAAAACCAAAGGTAATCCCAATCAGTGGGACCGAGGTTGAGCGTGTTGTTAGCTTCAAGTTCCTGGGTGTCCACATCTCCGAGGACCTCTTTTGGACCCTCAATCCTAGTCAAGAAGGCTCACCAACACCTCTTCTTCCTGAGGAGACTGAAGAAGGCTCATCTGTCCCCTTAGATCCTGGTGAACTTCTACTGCTGCAACATCGAGAGCATCCTCACCAACTGCATCACGCTGTGGTACTGCAGTTGCTCTGCTGCGGACCGGAAATCTCTCCAGAGGGTGAAAACTGCTCAGCGCATCACTGCTTCCTCACTCCTCACCATCGAGTCTCTGTGGAGGGCGCACAGCATCGTGAACGACAACTCACCCCATACATTGTCCGTTTGCCCTCCTCCCCTCTGGAAGGCGCTACAGGGCCCGTCGTTCCCAGACCAGCAGGTTCAGGAACATTTATTACCTGCACCTGTACTGCACCTGTGCAAAGACGATAAAATACTCTGTGCAATGACAATAAAGTTGAATCTAATCTAAAAAATTGATTTGCTGACTAATACACTTCCAGTAAAACTTAAACGACTTGACGGCATTGGTAATAATTACTACCCTCCTAAATTTGTTTTTACAGTGAGTGTGCTCCATCATACTAGGTGTTTTTTACAGATCAACATCACAATATACAGCGTAGTAAAACCTAGCATCAACTATTCTCTTCACCAGAACCCCAGAAACTAGTCTGTTTTGGTAAAAGCACCACCGAGAAAAATAATCACATTCTTAGGATGTCACACTTTTTGCGTCCTGTCGTTTAATGTCCCTGATCCCAGTCGTCATGTTGATCAACAGTCCTTGTTTTGTGAGCATATGAAATGGTGTACTTTTTGGTTGCTCCAAATATGATTGATGTTGAATCTTTGGATCAATCAATCAATGAAAATCTTCACATATGTCAAAAGGCAGATGACATACAGTCACATAGCAGAGGTCAGCCCAGATGTCCCCCGGATGTTGTGATGTACACGTCACTGTATTGATGACACCGTTGCGTGTGTGAGCGTGCATGTGTGTGTGTGTGTGTGTGTATGGTAACAAAGAGGACGCACACTGAGGGTCTGGTCCCCATTAAGCCTTTAGAGACACAGAGCTGCTCCTTCTGACTGATTAACACTGACAGCTGTCTCTCTTCTCTTTTTCTTGACCCCCACACCTTCATCTTTCTGGTCATATGCACCACCCTCTTTCTTGCTCCTTTTCTGTGATTCTCACTGTTTAAAGTCCATGTCAGCCTTTCTGTTTCTCACTCTCTTTATTATGACCGCCGTTATCACTCAAATTGAACCTAACCTCAAAAATAGATGGAAAGTCAAAGTATTTGTGGAATTTGTAAGAAATTAAATGAATAATGTCAGCTTTACAAACTAACCTTTTAGGCTTAGGGTCTGCAACACAGCTGTCATTATTATTTAATATCCACAAAATGCATATCCTCACAACTACAGCTAGCTTTCTGTCTAGGTGCAGCTGTGCACCACCCGTTTCAGTCCCTAGTTGGTGTTTTTCAGTTATAGGGATCCTGTATCTAAATCTCAACTGATAGTTCGGCACGAAGGAAAATGTGACCTCTGGAGATGAGAAACAGGACTTGAACCAGGTTCCATGGAAAGGCCCTCGCCTCTTAAAAGGTGCTAACAAGCTCCTAAAGAGCGGATCTGGTCCCACTTTGTTGTTTGTTTACCCTTCCGAGGTCAGTACAAGGACAGAGAATACATGACACATGTGTAAATCTAGATCAAGTCACACTATTTTACTGACTACGTAAATCAGTTCCTCTGGTGTACATTTAGCTAGTTGTTCATCTTCCCCTGACATGATGTTACATCTGAGACCAAAACTATGCAAATGCACAAATAAATAACAATCCAAGAGACGCAAAGGGGCTCCTAGTTTTTTTAAACCTCAATGAAACATTCAAGGGTTAAGTGCTTGTTGTTTAGCATCTGGCGTCCTAGAAAGATACTGAAAAGTATTGTCACTATTTGGTAATAATGGGGGCACTATGCCAAATGTTAATAACCCCAAACATTAATTGTGTAGGCCAGAAGTGGGTTTGGGGGGGGGAGGTTGACTCTTTTCCTTACACCGTTGGTGTAATGGGGATATATACACACATATATATATATATATATATATATATACACACACATATATATATACACACACATATATATACACATATATATATATATATATATATATATATATATATATATATATATATTAGATTGGGTCGGTCCTCCAGAAGAACAACATGGATGCCTCAGATGATCTCCATTCTGGCCTCATCTCTGGTGCCTGCTATGTTTTTACTTTCATTGTCAATCAAACAGCGTGGGTGGGACATAACAACTTTTTTGTTCACATCGACTGTCCTCTGATCATCTGTTTCCAGACTTCTACCAACTGATGAATATTTTTTTTATTTAATGAAATTATAGGAGCCATTCGGGATGTTTCTGTACCACATGGTGTTTGAAAATCTGAGAACCTCAAACCGGAAATGGATACTATATAAATGATCAAAATGTTTGGTGATTAGTCTTTTTGGTGCATTTATTGAATAATTGAAGTATTTATTCAGCTCTACTTCTTTTCCAACCCCAAACAAAGATCTGACCTATTCTGCACCAAATTCATTATTATTTTTTTGTAGGTAAAACAAGGCAGGTGTTTGACTTCAATGTGTGTGTGGGATTTTCCACCAGGGTTTTTACAATGTATGTGGGCGGTTCAAGAGATCAGACATACACACACACACACACACACACACACAGCAATGATTCGTCCTCTTTCTTCCAGCTCCATGCAGAGATCAGAGAGGCCGCTGCTGTTTAAACATTTGATCCTTCAGTGTTGGAGCACTAGACTCTGTATCCCGGACCGACTTAAACACATCGCACTTGTAACCCCGTTGAGTCCGTCAGGACCAGAACTAGTACCGGATACTTTCCAGTCTGGGAAAGCACCATCAGATCCAGGAACGTATTTTATGCTGATCCTGTGTTTGTAATCAGATGGAGTGTTTGGATCAGCTGAGTTTACTAAATATCAAAATGATGGATCTCAGCAGATTTAACGCCCCTTGGAACTGGGGTTGCAAAACACAGGAATATTCAAAGTTGCAAACTTTCAGGGATATTAATTAACAGGGATAAACTGGAAATTTAAGGGTAATTTAAGAGTGTTTACGTGTTTGTGTTTGTCAGTAGAGGGGGCTCAATAGCTCTGCTGTAGTGTGCATGTGAGGGTTTTCAATAGCTTTCTACGTCCTTTGTAAAGAAACACAGCATGTGCTGCATTCCATATCTCTAGAAAATATAGTTTTGAATTGCCCAACAGGCGCTTTTTGATGGACCCCAACAGTCGTGAATAATCGAGGTCATACATACATCCCACTCTCACTACTGTAAAAGGTTATCCTACTGTATACACATACACTTGGTCTTAAAATAAACATGGCATCAGTTTACCATATAATCAACATGCTGGTAATGTCAAAGACGTTCAAAAACAAAACAACGTTTTACATTTATGTCCCCAACTGGCTGCATCCCGGGTCCAAGTGAGCTGAGCTGGGCTTGCAAGGTCTTGTTCTCAACTACATTCAAGCTCCCTGTTATATGCTTTTGCAAAAAGAATTTACAAAAAAATAGTCATAATATCCCACGCTAAACTTCCCAATGCAAGTTGCCGGAAAGGCTCCGTGAATTTACCGGAAAATCTTCCGCTAACCTGACTTCAGGTGATCACTGATCAACTTTCCACCCTCTGAGAGCAGTTTTCAGAGTCGTCAGAAAAAAAGAACCTCTGTGGAGTTGCTGGGTTCATCTTTGTTTTGGGCTTTAAACCTTCAACATGCACGAATGGAAGGATCTTTTTTTTTTTGCCCATCTATTGTGACCATTTATTTTGTGTGTGTGCGTGTGTGTGTGTGTGATTGTTGCTGTTGCCTGGAGCCAGCTGATTCCTCAACAGCTGAGTCTGATTATTAGAATAACAGCGATAACACACACCCACACAACCACACACACAAATATAAACTGGAGCAGTGCGAGTCTGATTGATTGAGGGACACCAGGTGGTCGAGGTTAGGCGAGGATCTGGGCAAGGAGAACAGAGGACACACACACACACATAGAAACACACACACCCGCAAACACTCTGTATTACACTGATTTTTTACTGCAGTTTGTTGAGGGTATCATAATGTTTCTTATAATGATTAATTTCCATAAAATATTTGCTATTCTTGTACTGTCGGCCTGTACCACAAGTCTCTCTTTCTACGTTGCAGCAAAACCGCCATTTCTTCAATATTCAATATTCTTACAATGTTTTAGTAATATTTTATTTAATGAACAACATGGTTACATTTTTATTACACAGAGGATGCATTTATTGACGACAAAGCTCTGTAAACATCAGTTGTGCGTCACTACATTTCGTAAAACTGTTTTTTTTTGTGAGATCGGCACCTTTTTACACAGCAAACAAGCTGTACGTGGACATGGGCTCAACCCAGTAGACCTGTAAATCAACTGCTATCTCTCAAAGGGTTCACTGGCGCGGGGTTCTGCTATGGCCGCCTATCCGCCTCATCCTCAGATACACAGCGCAATGATGTTTTGCTGCTATTCTTTGCTGCTATTCCAGGGAGAGCGGCTGAGTGCGTATGCACGGCTGCCCCTCCTCTCCGCGTCTTGTGGGGCACACTGACATTTACTCGATATGGCTACGTTGTTGTCCCACGGGTTTAAGTACGGTCACAGCAGCCAGCTTAGGCTTTTGTTGCAATGGCGAGGGAGAGAGAGACCACAAAAAGAAAAGGAGAGGGGGGTGTGAGGAGCAGGCACAAAGAGATTTACAGCAAAAAGATTGAATCAGAAAACGAAGGCGAAACCCTTTAAGCTATTGAATCAGTCATTAACCATGTTTTTACTAACTTCAATGTAAGCAAACATGGAACCGCATCCCTGAGATTTTGATCCCTTGTCCGTATTTCACCAGTCAAGATAAGGCGAAAACTAAAGCAATGAAAGAGAGAATAATTCTACTGCTCCGCTGCCCTACCATATAATAACATACACTAGAGCGCATACCTGGGCACAACCCTCACAAACAGTCGGTTTTTCCAGCTCTCTGGTGAGAACCTGGGAGGACAAATAAGTTACGCGATTTTTCTGTGAGTAGATAGAGGATGTCATCAAGGTCAACAGATACAAAGATTTTGATAAAGTCCCGGA